AAATCTATGGTTGATAAAACAAAGCATTAATTAAGCATTGTTATAATTCATCAACCCCAGACTTTCCCTGGCAGCTATTCAAATCCTCCCCATTTTTTTAGTTTCTTTTCCGGATTGAAAAGAACGCTCATGAATTATTAATGAATATTATAATACAAAATGACAAACTAAAAGAATGTGCGGACAAGAGTAAACTAATTAGATAGAAAGTTTAATGTTAAGGTGCTTTACCTGGGCATTAAGCGTAGGTTTTCTCCACTTAATATGTGTAAGGCTTCTTTGATTTTGAGTTGGATGGTAGATGAAGCCTGATCTAGAATTGTGAAACATTCTTCAGAACATGTGAGAGAACAATTTTCTGAGCTTCGTAGGTGTTTGTGAATATGTGAAGCTTTATCATTTATTTATTATAATTGGTGTCAGTTACGCAACGTTCCCCTCACCAAGAACTGACCCTAACCATGCGTAGGAGGCTAGGCAAGCCTTCAAAGTTATCAAATGTTTTGTCTCTGCATATATTCCCGGGGAGGGGGGGGGGGGGGGGGGGGGGGGGGGGGGGGGGGGGGGGGGGACTCCGGGAAAAAAGTACCGGGGATGCTCGTCGTATCTCTTAGGGGTAAAAACTCGCGATTTATTTATATTTATAATATTGTTTGTTGTGGTATCTCTTAGGGGCTAAAAATCATTCAGCCACGCCCTTTTTTAAAGACTTCCGGTATCTTTTAGGGGTCTTTTTGGAAATTTCCGACGAGCATCCCCGGTACTTTTTTCCCGGTTCCCCCCCGGGCATATACTAACATTGGAAATATAGATCAATGAGCTCTTACTGTAACCAATCAATTTCCAATCTTTATTGTATTATCTGATTTACTTCAAAGAAACTTTTTCCAACTTTGTAAGTTGTTTTTTCAAATCATGATATTGATGTTGGTCTTGAACAAATATGTAATTAATGTCATGCTAGACTTGCGAATTCCCAAATAAATGCTGTACTACGAATGACATTACTAGCAAACCATTATGTTGCTACTGAACTTTACTTAGCATATCATTATGATATGTCTCAATATATTATATGATTCTATTCTCATATCGTTTTCTTATTTACATCAGGTTGATTACAA